CAGAAGGTTCCATCTGATCTGCAGCTTTATGGACAAAACAAAGTGCTCAGGAAGTGGTTGCTACAACCACAGAAAAAAAAGCAGCTTTTTGTTTTGGGGGTTTGTGAACACTGATGCTATTCCTTTTTATATATTTTTTAGCTTTCTTAATTGGCAGAACAGATACTACATATTTTTTCATGCAAATCCCCCTACATATTGCATGTCTCTCTATAAAGCATGCACTTGAAATGTATTGCTTTCAAGTATTTCAAGCTGCCAAAATTAACAATCATCCTCAGCAGATTAAAGATTGCACTACAAACTGTTCACCATCTCTGTATAAATTGCTATTTATGGAAAGCACCATACCTTCATAGTATCTTTGTCCAGTACTCATTGTTTAGTGGGGTACATTTAGTTGTCATGAGTTTCTCCAGTATATTTCTGATAAATTGTTCTTCATTAAAAAAACACACTTAAGGCGCTGTAAGAAAAGTGTCTTTAATTAAGAGGAATAGGAAAAAATTATGTTACACAATGGTCTTATTTACCAGCCCTGAAGCTGTAAAATATGCTTTCATAATGATAGCCTTAGAAAAAAAAGGAACATATGCATGAGCAATTACGCATAGCAAGCAGCAATCTTACTTTGTGTTCCATTATCACATTTTGCTTTTAGCAGTTCATGCAATAATTGGCCGATTACAAAATATGCTTTTGGGAAATTTTATTTTATTTTTTTTCTGGTTTGCAGTGAAGGTCTCTGCACAGTTAGAGAATGCTGACCTTAATTTGCTGTGTCCTACCCAGTTTTGAACTGGCTTAGAATTCCATATCACAGCATTTCAAATTGAGATACCACAGAGCAAGCTCCATCGGGGCTCAACAGGATTGTATAAACAGTGACGCTGGCCTGAATGTCATGCAGTTTGAGCCTCTGCTTCATATTGCGTTGTATCATTGCCAGGTTCTGCTAACCCCGGTCAAATTCGTTTGTAAATTATGCATACAGTCCAGGGGTGTAGAGTGATTTGCAAGGCTTAGGTTAGGAGATTGACACCTGAGAATTTGCACCAGTGTGCGTTTATCTGCCGGTGCTGATGAAACACCTAGGCTGGGCATTTCTCAACTGTCAGTGACCTCACTTTTCAGAAGAAATGATGGCATACTGGAATGATCTCACATGAGAGGTTTCAGTCGTGTCACATTAACGGCACATTAGAGGAAGTGCACTGTGCTGGCTTCCAGCGAGAGCAGTTGGCAGGCAGGCATTAAAGATGAGATTCTGGAACATTTTCTTTGCCTCCGTGGAGTCAAAGAGTCCACATTCTCTGCCCCAAATTAAATGTCTTCCCCCTCTCCCCTTTTCTCTCCAAACTATTTGTGTCTGTCTGAGTTAGAGTTATCACGTGATGTGCAGACAAAAGGGAGGCACCCTTGGACTATGGAGAGGTTACAGGGTTTTTTTGTGTTGTCCAGCAAGAGGGGGTGGGGCGTCCAAGCTGTGAATAGGATCATTGAGTCGGAGGTAATTTTGGGCTCTGGTTCAGGGCATCAGTTGGACAGTTCTTTCTGCTGACATGCCTGTTCCCCATCTCTTGCTCCCTTTTTTTTAACTCCAACCCCCAGCTCTTCTCTGTGCTGCATCGGCATTTCTGCCCAAATCAAGCCTTTATCCTCCTGCCCATGGTGACATGTGTGATAGGGTGTGGCAACCAAGATAACTTTCCAGTCGTTACCTTGGGGAATCTATTTATCTGGAGATGGATAACCTGCAGCCAGCCACACTTAACATTGCTGTGGTTTTATAAGCCACTAGAGCCTATCTGTGAAATGAATAGATGCATGCAAGACATCCCTATATATTATCATTGTAGCTTCTGACAGCTTGTGATGGCGGCTAAAACTGGCTTTAAGACAGCTTCATATATGGGCACATTGCAAAAGCTTATAACTACTAGAACAGAAACCAAGCCATTTTCCAATTGACCTATTTAGGACCAGTAGACATATGATTTGTTAAATATTTAATCACATAACGGTGGCGAAGTAAACCCTTATTTTTTTGCATTGGAGAAAGTCTGGTGGGTGAATCCAGACAATTTTTTACTAGTAGTGAAAAGAAAGTTTTTCTAATCAAGGAATGTACAATATATTAATGCTAATGTTTGGAGTAATAGCAACAGTCCTTTTTTAAAAATGTTACTGTGGGATAAAGACTACAAGTTGGCTGGTATAATCTTTTCTAAATAATAAATCAGAAGGATCCCAAAAAAGAAACAAAAACAAAAATATGTGTAAATAAATACATAAGAATTTGATACAGACAAGGAAAAGGCATCATTAGCGACATTTACTTGCGTTAAATTTCCCCGATCCAATCTAAATCTTGGATGATCACAAGTTCAAAATATGTTAACATAGACACTAAGTAAAATGATCCGATCATAATGTGTATATACATGTACCAATCATTTCGATCAGAATAAATCATTTGAGCATGCGCAGAACTGTCTAATTTCCGAAAACCCTTAAGTAGTAGAAGAAGCTGACTGTTTTGTAAACAAAGCTGCTCATCCTCAACTTTAACTCATCTTTATGCCCGCCCCTCGCTATTGTTTTTCTTCAGCCCTTCAGTTTTTTTTTGGTTCACTATGGATCTTTGTCACACCATACTTTTGTTTTGGTGGTCATTTTAGTTAAGTCGGTTAAGCGGTTTCTTATGCTCATCCAGACATTACATTTAGAGCAATCTCCTTCACCAATGAGCCAGTGGATGAAGGCCAGTAGAGGGGAAAATGTGACACTGATGATGCACACGTGCACAGAGGACATGCTTTTACTTCAAAGATACAACATGGTTTGTACAAACCCCCTCTCTCAATAGGAATGACATTTCTTTACAATCGGACCAAACTGGATTAAAATCTTCAGTTTGACATGTTTTTATGACACATTTTTAATCTGATCATTTGTGTCCATGTAAACATAGCTATTGTGAGAGAAAGGGACTAGAATAGTGGTCAATCTCCCATGCTGGACAAGAACACAGCATTGCACGGTCAAGGGCGTGATGATGTCAGAAGCAGCTCCTATAGCAAATAAACCATGTCTAATAAAAAGTTCTTGAGAGGAGGGCTTCACTTTCCAAAATATGAAAAATAAGGAAGATATGAGAAGACAAGACTCCCAGGTGCCAGGCATTGGTACGGTTGGTTGGAATGTTAACGGTGCTTAAGCTAAACATGAAAGAGGTTTTTAGCTTTCAGCCTTTGTTATAAAACATGCTGGGGTGTTTACTCTTTATTTTTTTGTTTTAAAAACTATAAACAACTTCAAACTGAGCTGGCTGATCAATGTTATAATAAATAAGAACACAATGCTCTTGGCTTTTTTTTAAACAGTTTTATATGTTTAAATCTTTCTCTTGGATGTTATGATTATATATTTGTGAGCTTCACTTTTTTTTTTTGCAGAAAATCCTTTTCTTAAAGATGCAGTGAAATTTTCTGAAGACTATCCCAGCTTTGAAAATTGTGAAGCTTCCTAAATTTCCTGACAGCCTTCTGCTGCATTGTGAGTTATTTTGACAGTCCCTTACTCTGTATTCTACATCCGTCGGAGGATCTGCTGCTGACTTGAGATGGCTGGTGATTGCCTGAGGGCTTTGAGCTTACAGGCACCTGGTTTTAAAGGCAAACCCTCAGAAAGAGAGCAGTGTATCCGATGACAGCATTGTCAGGTTAAAAGAAGGGGGAGAAGTTAATTGGTCAAGGGTAATTGAACCAAAATGAAGAAAAAAAAAAAGAAAGGAGGTGGCTTGTATAAAAGGTGTAATGGTCTTCAATAAATATGCTGCCATCTTTCACTTTCATTGTTGAAACATGAGCTTTATAACCCTCTATCTTTGTGCTGTGAGGCAATATTTGTGGCTGAAAGGCAGTTCCGTGTAACCTGCAGGTTGTTATGTAGGAAATTCTTCAAAGTTGCCCACATCCCTGAAAAATGTAATACTTCCAGGATGTGGTGTACTTGTGGTTTGCTTCAGACCCCAAACTGGTCGTCTGTAACTTTACCTTGAGCTCAAAGGAACTTTATGCTCTCAAAGTTCAGATGATACTCTCTAGACATCAGCATGTCCCAAAGGTATTGGCTCAAAGCAGACAAACTGCCCTTATTCACAGCTTTTTTTTATATTTTATTTTTTAACTAGTTTCACATTTGCTTTATTAATTCATAACCACTTCATTGTAGCTTCACATTAATTATATATTGTAAGTTGCAATGAAGCCCTTTGCTGCTGAGGTGTTTATGTGCGTTTGATGCTGTACGCATATGCAGGAGATACACAGCTTGTGTTGCACTGTCAATCAGCCGTAACATAAAACGATGTTGTACCCCTGCTGCTGTGGCACCTGTGGGACACGAGCCCCCACGAGCCACCTGTCTGCCGCGTCGGGATGTACGCTCCCCGAGTTTTGGATTTCTGTGCGCTCTTATGAAATAAACATCAAACTCCAATCTCGTATCTCAAGGAGACAAGGACTGTTGTCATCTGCAGAAAACATCCCTGCATGTCATGGGGGACAAAACTAGCATGGAATGGCCTTTGCTGAAGCAAAGAAAAAAAAAAAATCTTTTAAGCATTTAACGTGTCATAACATTCAAACTATGTTCTTTCTTTGCAGCGTTTAAAACTGCAAGGCATTCGGCGTTTTCAACATCACATTTTAAGTGTATTATATTGACTTTCTCATATACATTTAAAAGCCCATAAGGAGTACTTTCTGTTTTAGTTGAAGTTGCTCCTCTTCCTTTTTTCATCCACTTTCTCTGTTTGGAGCTGTGCCTTTGGGCAACAGCTTGAAGTGAATAATGTATAAGCAAGAAGAAGAATCAGAAAACCTTTGTGGGCTTTCTGTCTCTCGGAGTCTTTCAGTTCTTTAGTCTACATTCCCAGCTTTTTCCTCAGTTTGTGTAATTTTAAACCAAAATCCTTCTGCCACTTTCTCTTGCAGTGAAATTTGTCAGCTGTGGCCGAGGTGGTCTGGTGCGGTTTGAATGCAGCAATCCATCTGACTATCGGATAGAAAACGATGGTGTAGTTTATGCTGCAAGGACTCTTCAGCGCACTCAAGCCCCTGCATCGCCCTTGCTGATCAAGGCTGTGGACACAACCACTCAGCAGCAATGGGTGACACAAGTCAAGATGATGCCTCCCACACAGGTGAATAATCTTAAGCTTCTCTGTAATGCTTACGTGTTTATATTTGTGTCTAGTATTAATGCTCATGAAATGCAAAACGATCATCTCTGCCCTTTCAGCAGATAAATAATGCATTTTATGCCTGCTGTACATTCACAGATGACTGCTTCTCTGAATTGCAGCAGGTGTTCCATGAGACAGGATGGATGCTTGCTTAATTAGAACTGAATGTGTCAATTTAGCAGCAGCACAAATGTTATACTGGCATGGTCAGTGGAGGGTAAGATCTGATGCAGAAAAGCTTTAGGTGAAGTTTAACTCTGAGGTCACAGCTTCTTCTTCCGGAGGAGGGAACACTTTTTTTTTTTTTGAAGCAGTGGAATATTGGATGCATCTGTGTGAGCTGGAGAAATCTTCTAATTTAATGGTTTGTATGACCATGCATTTCATGTGTCCGAATTGGATTTGGCAGAAGATGTGTGGAATTTGACCAAAAAGAAAAAAAGCAGAGCTAATGTCATGTTTCTGTGAGCTGAAGCCTATAAGCTAAAGGGCTGCTCTGCTTCCAGACATTTACCCTCATTAAATGATGGTGCATAGAATAGAAATAGAAAAGAAAAGAATACAGCCAGGCTGTTTTCATTGGAGTATTAAGGTATTCTTACACTTTCTAAAGGGACAAGAGTAGGAATGTATTTGCATAAGTTGGTAATTATTGTTGTTAGGTCTTAAATTACAGGCCTTGTGTTTTCTTAATGAACAATCCCAAATGCACTAATCTGGCTTTTACAAAGTCCAATGTGCTTTTTATTTCAGCCTGTTAAATTACTTTAAAATGTGGATTTTTTTTCCCCGCGATTTCCAAGAAATAATCACAGGAAATGTTGGTGCCAAATTTGCATTGATGCAAAAATAAAACGAGAAGAAGGGTTTCCATTACACCAGCCTGTTCAGCAAAAATCTAAACATGTTCAGGCTGCAAAAGCTGGACCTAGTTTTTGTAGTTAAAAACATTTTTTCCTTCATTAGAAGGACTTTCTTAATTCAATGCCAGTGAGAGAGAAGTACCACTCATTTAGGTTTGTGTGTAATGTGCAGTTCCATACAAACCTAACTATTAAATAATAACCATCCCCAAAAAAGTTTAGAAGCCTGGTTTTCTCTTACTAGCTTGCAATTAAGAAAGCTCTTTGGATGAAGGATGAAATACAAAACCAAATTTCAATTGGTCTCCTGGATGACTGAGAATCTTAACTAGTATTTGATGGTTAATAAATAAACATTCAATCGATAAAATCTAAAAAAAAAAAAAAAAAAAAAAACTAAAATCTTAAACAGCCTTTTCTAAAGAAATATTTTCTCTTGTATCAGCAAGTTATTTCCATAACACAAAAAGCTAAAAAAAATTTTTCCAATTACACGGAGTAAAAACAAAACAGAAACAAAAAAAAAAAAAATGTTACAATTCCTTTTCTACCATGTTGTACATGTTTTGTGTAATGCCCTCCGCTTTTCTATCAACACATCTTTGACCTCGGAGCACAGCAGAGGTTTTGACTTTGTGCCTGAACTGATGGAGTTCATTTAGACTTTGCAAACAGAACCACAAAAGGTGCATTCTGCATCTTTGTCCCCATTAAACTGTGTAAATAATCCCCGACCGATCAATCGATTCACGTCTCTGCACTAACATGCCTCTGCTCTGGCATCACTTGCAAATACCAATGAAGCTGCGCCTAAGAATGAACAGCGTGGGCGGCAACACTACAACACACCGGTCAACTTTTGGCTGATAACATGTGCTGGTTTTCTTTAAAGTCTAAACCTGTTTATTCTGATTTAATTGAATTCTTGTTTACTTTTTTCTAAGGACTACAAACAAAAAAATATGCTCCATGTCAGTTTGATAAAGGCTCTATCCCACACAAAATAATGGAATTCAGATATGAGTATGCACCCAAGCATTTGTCCTTGTATTGTGGGCCTGTTAACTGAAGAATTTACTGGAGTTCTGTTTTGATCTATTCTATCATGAGGGAATTTTTATTATCTTGCAGACAAATTAGAATCAAATTGAGAGAAATTTGGCTCATCCTCATAAGCTTTCTGGAACATTTATACATGTACTTACTACTTTAATGCGAGTCAACTATTTTAAAGATTGGTTGTTACATGTAGACATAATTATTAACTCACTTGGATGTCTAAAGCTTTGAATTTTCTCAGCTTCAAAATGAGATTAGGGAACAACTTTTCCATGTGTCTCATCGATAACCCCTCCCTCCAAGCTCTGTTATTGTCATAAATCATAACAAAACTTTTAATCACATCAGCAATTTCATTTTTTTTTAACTGCGCAATTAATGTACCAGCCTGAGGGAAACATTTTAATCAGTCGCAACCAAATAATATCCTCATATTACTACATTCCTTCTTGCCCTCTTTCTCCATCACTTCAGTTCTACCACACTTTGAGAAAACAGTGTTGGGAAATGGAAGATGGATCTTTTTTTTTTTTTTTTTTTTTTTCCCTCTTTCCAAAAGGGCAACTACGCACACATAATCCTTCCAACACACTCACAAACACTCAGGCCATCACTCAGCCCAACACTCTCTGGGACTCTGAAGTAGACTTTTAATCTGGAGATGGAAAACAGGGGCTAAGTGTGGATGGGTACAGACCTCCAGTGCACCAGAGATGGATCTGCTCTGTGTTGGGCTGAACACATCCACCATGCCATTCATCATTCCAGATGCAAGTTCCAAATAATTACTGGTCTCACTCGAAGCCAATTTAATAGGGTAATAGATATTTCTGAGGCATGCTCCTTCGCTATCTGTCCTCATGCCTTCTCTGCATTTTCAGTGTGTGAAAGCAGTATAATCGGATTTCAAACATGATTAGTGAAAGCTCTGTGACATCTCCCCAGATGTTGGAGGAGGGGGAGTGTGGGATGTGAGTCATGTTATAAGGTGAAAAAGTGGTAATTAATTTCTGTGTTTGCACGAGGCGCTACATTGTAGTTTGGAATACTTGACTACCTAACAAGCCGTCAGTGTTCAGATATCAACAGACACTGCTAAGTAAGGCTGCTGAAAGGGAGTGGCAGCTTGAAGAAAAAAATCTTATATTTTATTTAATAACATTGACAGACTTTTCATATGAAGTTCTTTTCTGTTTTCCTTGCGATTTTATTCAATTCGAGGGTGTTTTAACAGTCTCTGGCAGTACTTCAGCCTTAGACTCTGGAATAGTATAGGCAATTTGAGCCATGTGCGTGCATAGTGTCTGGCTCTCAGGTACCACCCTCCTTTGTTTCAAATCTTTTTCATTACTGCTGAGGGAGGATGGCAGATCCATTATGGAAGCCGGTATATCTGTGTGGGTGTGTTTTATCAGCACATAAAGAAGAGCTCTGCCATTTAAAACAATCCGGTATTGCAGGACTGAGGCTACAGAAGCAATTTCTAGTTTCAAGGCATACCCACACATATGTACTCTTTGAATTTAAAGCTTCAAAGACAACCAGAACAGATGGTCTCGTCTGATTAGACGAGGATTGAAATAGACATTGAATAACATTTAAACTGGAAGCCTGTTTGTTTTATAGTTTCTTTCTTATTAACCTTTCCAGAAAGGGCCAGTGTCAGTCTTTGCACTAAGGTCAGGATTTCTTTTCATCCAAGCCGAATTTGTGGTTTTAGTCTTGAAATACAAGCCCTTGGTTTGTGAAGTGGGATTCATTTCTTTTACCTACATAGCATAAAATATGTATGCTAATTAGCTTACACTCTACATCAAACTGCACAACAAATGTTAGTAAACACCAACACTTGCACCAGTGAGTTTTATAGCCAGTTTCTGATCTTCAGTTTTTGCAAAACTGTCCATTGCCATTACTAACTTTAACTAATTCCAAGTGTTTTTATGTAACTATAATTAATAGCATTAAAAGGTTTTCTACCGTAGCTGAAGTAAGCAGTCATTCATTTAAAGAGCACAGGACACACCATATCTGATATACAGTTGCTGTAAAGCATTATTAGTATTCATAATGGTACATTCACACGGAATGTGTTTTGAGTGTCAAAAAGGCACCCAACACTTCAACTTGGACAATAGTCCACACTGAAGTAGATGCACATAAAGAGCTTTGACGCTTTGGATGCTTGATGCTCCTGATGGCCGTCACGAGCGTTGAGCTGCTCTGTTCTTTTTTCTTTACCCGTCTCTTATACTAAGGCTGACACAAGCGAGAGACTGGCTTGGCTTCACTTGTTTTGATGATGGGGGATATTTTAACATCACTTTAAAAGGGAAAGTAAACCTCAAAACATCATGTTTGCCGTAACAGTATTTAAAAGAGGGATCATACACCCAAGGGGTGTATGATCAGGGCATGCCCCCCACTTACCTACCTTTTGAAAGTGTGGGTAGTCTCCAATGAAACCTCAGGCGGGGGGTTTCCCATTGCCGTTCATAGGTGGCATTTATCACTTTGTATGCTGTGACATAAAACAAATGCACAGCTCCCAACACTGGTAGGGCTTTTGCTTTTAATGCTCAAATCATGCCACAGGACCTCTTGATGGCCCTTTACATCGTCAACCACTTTGCATTTAAACTGAACCTTGATGCCCAAAACGCTTTTGGTATGAACGCATTCTAGCTGTACGTAAGATTCTCCCCATGTATTTATTCCCTATCTATATCTACCTGTAACTGAAATAAAACTACAAATAGGGATACATAGGCACCTACAGCCACAGATGTTTCAAAAACGTATTGGCTTTATCTGCAATGTCTCAAACCGTGGCAATGAGAGACTATTTCCTGCAAAAACTTCTAATATACCAATGATTGGATGATAGTGAAACAGTAGCCAAGATGGTGGCTGGCTAATCCATTCACATTTATAGTCAGAAATAGGAAAGGCATGTAAGGTTCCGTATGGAAATGAGATGGGTAGACAAAATGAGTGCAGCTTTTATACTTGGTGCAGCTTTGCCTCCTATACCTGATATTCCCGCCAACCCCATGAAGTTGTGTAAAGCACAAACCGCAAACTTACAACACCATACTACATGCAAAAGTAGGGTGAGTAATATCTTTTGAAGATTTATTTAATAATTTGTTGACTACGATGATATTTATGGGCTAAATCACAAGATCTTAATGTTTGTATACAAACACCCGCCAGAGGGAGCTGTTGCTTGTCCACCATGTTTTTCAAATGAAGATGTCTACGTGGTTACAGATTTTCCAAGGTCTGCAGGGTGGAAAATCTCTTTGTGCGACGCCATGCGGAAAGGCTCAAATGGGGTATTTTTATCCATGCCAAGCATAAATTAAGCATTAGCAAACATCACTGTATCTGTTCAAAGTTCAAAAACCTTTCAAATTTGCTGACTTGTTTGCCAACATGCGATAAGACAACAAGTAAAAGCATTTATAGGCCAATATCAATTTATTTTTCCATATTTAGTTCCAAGCATTAAAAATATACATATAATTTAGTTGAAACATTTTAAATGATCAAAACTACTTTTATAATGATTTTATTATGGTCATTACTTTTCTTGCTGTAATTCTCTATTAAATATGTTGATTTTACTGTTATTTTTAGTATTAGTATCTCAAATTTTAAGTAAAAATGTTATCTTAATTTAAATAATCTTTAAATCAACTATTAAGTGCTTGTGAATATTAGCACTCTGTTTTATTTAACAATATGACACACTAACAAAGCAACAAACATTTCCGTTTGTCTGGTGATATCTGCAAATTAAATTTATTGCATCCCTAGTTCTAGAAACTCTGCCCCAAATAATGTAGACCCTAGTCTCAACTCTGAGATTTTAAAAGTCTCTAAATATTTCAAAATCCAGCATGTTCCATGGCAGAAGTTGAAAGTTCAAGAAGGTCAGAATTATGAAAATTTGCTTAATAGAGACAGTGCTCCTGATATCTATTGACACACTGCTAATTGTGTATATACTGTAAGGTGTAATGCAGTCAGTGTACAGACCACAAACATTGTGGTGTTAGAAGTGACATTAGTCATTGGATTACTAAAGTCTTTAGGAATTCTTTGGTCAAGTGTGAAATTGTTGTTGAGCTATTTATGTCTACTGCAAAACAACTGGTAGATAGACACTACCAACCTCAGTTATTCCTCTGTGGTGTTTAAAACATCTTTACTCACACTTCACTACATTACTATGATCATTAAATCATTTCCTTTTGGCAGGTCCAGGAACTCGCCGTCCCTTCAGGCATGGCCAAAAGGTTAAAGGAAATAGTGTTTCCATCACAAAATGCAGACGGCACGCTGAAACGCAGCAAACGAGAGTGGGCCATCCCTCCAATCAATGTGCCTGAGAACTCCAGAGGCCCATTCCCACAGGAGCTCGCCCGGGTAATGTATTTGACTCCACCGGATGCATGCACACAATCACCAGTCTATCAGCTTTGAAACAGTCTACTCCCTTTGTTTTTCTTGATACGATGATTTTGTGAGTTGCAAGTTCCAGCTTTTTTTCTGACATTTTGTTTTACCTTTAAATTTCACAGAGCAGTCTGTAGTAGTGCAGCATGGGTTTTTTTTCAAAGCTTTTGTTGTCTGAAGCGATGAAAATAATTGTTGGGTGACCGCTAAGAATCTGAAGTCCCAGGCAAAGGTGCAACCCAATTACTTAGCAATAATACAGTCCTTTATGTTAGCTATTGCACAAACAACTCTTTGGACAGCAGAAACCTTTTCAACCAGCTGAAATTTACATTTAAAGTGCAAAATTCAGAGATTGCCATGTGTATTTTTCTTTAATTATAATCTGGCTTTATGGAGTGTATGTTTCTCAGCTTCAGTTGCTGGTTTTGAGAGAAGGAAACGGTACGTTGCACGGACAATGATACAGCCACAGGTCTCAGCTTACATGGAAAATGGGAATTAAAGTCCAAATACAACAACTTCCCTGCTATGCAGGAACTTGTTCTTGTTTTACTGCAGCTACATTTTTAAGATTGAGGGAGAAACAGTGTTCCTAGATATGGAATTCTGACATTTACAATGTGTAAAAACGATATGCTGAAGTCTTTTTCTCCCCCCTCCCCACAGATTCATTCAGATTTTGATAAAAACCGACCCCTGAGATATACTGTGACGGGTTCAGGGGCTGACCAGCCCCCTACTGGAATCTTCACCATTGACCCCATTTCTGGAGTATTATTCGTCAACAAGGGTCTTGATCGAGAGCACATTTCCAGTTATCATGTAAGTCAGACACTGCGTTTTTATAAAGCTAGAAGAATTTGAATTTAACCCAAAAAAATGTCTGTTAACTGCTTTGGCTAAAGAATTGTGTTCTCTTGCACCAGTACATTCCAGCTAGTTGGCATGTGCTCAGAGGTCATGTGTAGCCTAAACAATCTCCTCAGACTCGATAAAAAACAGACTTTCAGGGAAATCTTTCTTATCCGTCTGAGAATTTAAAGGATTATGAGAAAATACTTTGTCAGATGCTTAACATGACCTTCAGCTGTATTTACCAGGACCTTTTTCCCATGTTCTGCTTAGTCTCCTTTAACTAAATGTACGTAGTTTCTTGAATACTTATCCAGTTTAGACAGTTTATTTTCTTTTCAAGCCCTTTTTTAAGAACATAAAAAGACTGATGTTACATAATGAAGGGAAATTGTTTTCTTGATTTTCTGTGTATAGATAGTTGCACAAATGCCAGAGAGGTGAACACAGGGTTTCTGTATATATATATAATCTTATGCCATGTGAATGCAGAGCAGATGGAATAACAAAAGACCCCTTCTGTTATTCCTTATGTCTGGTTAAACAATTTATTTTTCAGCAATTTGAAGTTATTTCTTACAAATTTACTCATCGCTATAAAGGTTTATTAAAAAGATGTTCTGAAAAGGTTTTATTTCTTCAAGAAACCAATCCATTTAATTTAAAATTGCATATTTCTGCATGAAGAGTTGATATCCAGTAGTCTGCAGGTTTATGCTGGGTCTCAAAAATTCAAAAAATCCCTTCAATTAAATAATCTTAATTTTAAAATTAAAAAGCTATTTAATATTTTTTTCATTATTTGATGAATGTTTTATGTTGTTTTCCATCATCATTTTTCTTTAATCATATTTACTTTTAAAAAATTTCTTTTTTTGGAACCATTCAACAACCAACATTTATTTAATCTTTTTTTTTTTCCCCTCCAGTTGAGAGCTCATGCTGTAGACCTGAATGGCAACCAAGTGGAAAACCCCATAGATATTGTGATCAACGTTATTGACATGAATGACAACCGACCTGAGTTCACTCACCAGATCTGGAATGGAAGTGTTCCAGAGGGTTCCAAACCAGGTAAGGCTTTTGCAAAGTTCTATTTATTTATGGATGTTTGTGCTTCCAGATTCAGTCTTACTATAATATTAGCAGAACAATCTGTGCTACTTGTTATTTTATGCTTAGAAAGATGATCACTGGATTTTGATTGAAAAAAGAATGTGGCATTAATATATAATTTTTTGATCTGTCTCAAAGGAACATTTGTCATGACTGTAACATCTATTGACAAAGACGACCCCAAAACGTCAAATGGAATGCTTCGATACATGATCATGTCCCAGAACCCAGAGAGCCCATCCTCTAATATGTTTACGATCAACAACAACAACGGAGAAATCATTACAGTGGCTGCAGGCCTGGACAGAGAGGTATTTACATACATATAAATATATATATTAATTTTTTCGAGGGGTGACATTGTATTTTTTTTTTCAAGTTGTATGACCTGATTTACCCATAGACAATATTTTTCTCCTCTGGTTTCTTGCTGTTTAATACAGAAACGTGTTTCTATATTTGCCTAAATGGGCTGAGTTTTTAAACGGGGACTTGGAAGTTTAACTGTTAATATTCCAAGTGTCTCAGCAATAATGAGCCGCAGCAAATTTAGCTTATTGCCACCTAAGTGAGAAGTAGAAGTTGGCTTGCTTGTTTTGCACTCATTACTCTTAGGAGGCACCATGCATTACTAATCAGCTAAATGTTTCTCTTCGCACCAATACTGCTTTTTTTCTTTTTTTTTCAAAAAAGAACATTTTATTGTTTTCTCTCTTTTCAGTATTTATGCCGCGAAGGTTAGCACTCTTTATAAATTGGGACTGCTAAATTGAAGGCTGTTTGAGGAAATAAATACTAAGATGTATACAGCTGGAGCTTGGTAGTTGAATCCTTGTGAGGGCAATCTGGCTGAGGTGGCTGCTCAATCACTTCCACCCTGGGGCCACCGTTTTATGTCTGCAAGTCGCCACCATGAAAGTAATTTGCCTGGCTCTCATTACCTAGCAACTGGTCCATCACCTGAGCGGTTTTTAATGTGAAAAGAATCATTTGTCCCCTTCATGGTGATTCGATATGCGTGTCTCATGCACGCACACAATCACTGATTAGCCCCTTAAGATCAAATTAAATTCATGTGAAAAACTTGTAATTTATGACAAACAGGTTGTTAGACTAGTCATATTTTTTGTAGAAATGATTAAACAAAGTGCAAATGTACAATGTAGTATTATCTCATAAGTGCTGGCTGTGAAGCAGAATAACATTTTAGTGAGGTAATGTGAAAATAATGTCTTTATAAAGTTTTAGGTACAGATTCATTTGGAATTATTATGCATTGACTCTTCAATTATCTCATTATTTCTTCTTTTTTCTTTTCTTTTTTTCCCTTTTTTTTTAGAAAGTGCCTCAGTACACTTTGATCATCAAAGTGACTGACATGGAAGGAAACCCTATGTACGGCCTATCCAACACAGCCACTGCTGTCATAAGCATCACTGGCATCAATGGCAGTCCATCAGAGTTTGCACCTGAGATGGTAAAAAGCAAGCTCTTCTCACATGTAAAGAACATGTTATTTAAAAGACTTGTTTCTGTTGTGTTCTGTTAAGACCCACTTAAATCTTTAGGAGATATGATAATTAACTGCACCCACTCATCTCGACTCATGACCACACCCCAATGCATAGGAAAGTGCATGAGTAGGGGGAAGTGGACTGGCTTCTACTAAACAGGATTCCTCCTGTTCCCATGAACAGGCTTTTGATTTGGGACTGTGGCCTTGAGTTGAAATGATAAAGAGATGTGGTCAGTTATCTTATCTACTAAGATTTAGGTCTTAGGTTATGATTTACACTTAAGTTTTTTTTCAATAAAATTTAATTTAAGATGTATATTAAGATTTAACATCCATAACCCATATCTACATGTGAATATGTCTGTGTGCAAGAAGGTGTTGTTCAGTTAGTGTACAGGCTACAAAAATTGTGGTGCAAGAAGTAACATTAGCTACTGGATCACTAACCTTGCATGCAAGCTGAGTTGTCATGCTATTTATGCGTTCACATAACAGCTATTGTATATCCAATTCTTACTGCTCCCCTTTCAACCTTTCGCGACAGACAAAGCTATCGCTTATGGTTTGTCAGAAAGTGCTATTTCATCTATGAAAGAGAACCCAAAAGAGGTAAAAGCACAAGTTGTGTGCTTTCGCATGCCATCCGCTGCCATTTGATTTAGTACCATGATTGGTTAAACCAATCTTGGGTAGTTGCCGTTTAAGTGTCACCTCATCCAATCAACTCGTAAAGTTCTGCTGATTGTCAATCGTTTTCCTGCACAGTTTTAACTGAAGCATTTCAGATGAATAATGTGTAGAACTAAAGCTGAAAAATACATATGATCCATCTGGGTAACCAAGTTACTGAATTAACAAAGTATTCAGGAATTCTTTTGTCAGGTGTGAAAATATTCTTCAGCTGTATGTCTGTTGCAAGCCAACCCAGAGATAGATACTACTAACCCCCTAGCTATTCCTCCTTGGCGTTTAAAACACCTCTACTCGCACTTCACTGCATTACTATAATCATTAAATCATTTGCTTTTTGCAGGTCCAGGAACTCGCTGTCCCTTCAGGCATGTCCAAAAATTTAAAGGAAATACTGTTTCCATCGCAAAATGCAGACAGCACACTGAAACGGAGAAAAAGAGACTGGGTCATCCCTCCAATCAATGTGCCTGAGAACTCCAGAGGCCCATTCCCACAGGAGCTTGTCCGGGTAATGTATTTGACTTTACCGAATGCATGCACACAATCACCGGTATATCTATATATATTTTATATATATATATCAGTACATTAGTACACATTTTATTTGCAGATTCCATAGATCAACGCTTGCAACGTATTTCTGAAGCTTTATCACCTTTTTGATTGCAGTATTTATTAGAATGCCGATTTATTGGCCAGCCCTTCAATTGGAAAGTTTTCTTAATTTTGGTGACCGGCCGATACTTAAATGTGAAACTGATCTTTTCCACCAATCTGATCCACCTCTGTAAAGATTAAAAAAAAAACAACCACTGTAAATGCCTCACACTTTAATGTAGATTTGAGAGCAGTTATTTCAGTAGGTTTTAATTTTCGCTGGCAGTGATTGTTTTTTTGTTTTTGTTTTCTCTCTAAGATAGAAATAAGATAAGATTGAAATATCTTATGATCTTATAACAGCTGACACTGTTGGTTATAAAAAGAAATCTGTATCATTCAAAATCAACATGTCAGGCTTTTTAAAGACTGGGAATTGTGACCTGCCAGGAACCTTTAATCAGTGTTCCCCTAGTGTTTACTCACTGGTACACTGACCAGCCTGTAGTGCATTCTGGCCTTCTTAGTCTGAAGTGCTGAAAATTATAATTGTCAGGTGAACACGAAATGCACTTTTTACCTCTCAAGGACGGGAGTTGCAAAATTTCTCTTCAACAATTCAGTCCTCAGTGAGTGTTAGCTGTTACACAAATAATTCTTGTGACAACTTGGATGCAGGAACCTTTTTCAACCAATTTAAATTTGTACAAAGTGAAAAATTCTCAGATTGGCATATGTACTTTTTCTTATTCTGGCTATATGAGGTAAAAGTTTCTGTGATTCAGTTGCTGATTACAGGAGGAAATTGTATATTTGTTTCTGGATGGATCAAGGGTCTTTGCACAAAAGGTCTCAGGTGACATATAAAATGGAAATGAAAGTCCAAATATGACAGAACTTCTTTACACTGTAGTGACGCATTGCATCTCCACTTGTCACCTGCTTTCAAAGACATTTGGGATGACAGGCGCTCAATTTGGGGAAAAAGGAAAAGGTGCATCTTATGCGCCACATGGGAACAGACTCCTGTGTTGCTAGTGGGATTTATTAAAGGCAAAGCTTAAACAGCATCTGTATATTCATATAAGCCTTTTAAATCAATGCTCTATATGCAGATTTTTAATAATGTTCAACACTCTACAGCTGAGTATCTCTAACAATCAAACTGGCAACAACAGAACAGAGGGTACCAGTGCTACCTTAACATCCTTAGAACAGCAGTGTCAATTTAACGAAATTGGAAACAAACTTCGGGGGGGGGGGACATTGACTGGTTCAAAGACCAGAGACTTGACCCAGTCTGTCTTTTGCCCAAAGACATTTAAGACATTCAGCATCATCATTTTCTTTCTCCTGCTTTAAAAGAGCTTCCTCCTTGGTGCCATGTCTTTGAAGATTCTGACAACCTCACTATGCTTGATGTGATTGACACAAAATATCAGAAGCTTGCACCCCTTGCCAACATCTGCTAATGGCAAAGTTCAATGTGATAGTGAGCAGCTGTCCTGAACCATCTAGAGATATGACCACTTAGGGGAAAAATAAACTAAATGCAAGCATGAATTTAAAGTGCATTTGATATTTTTTAAAGAATAAAACGGCACCAAGTAACATTTTTACCCTTTTGTATCCTCTTCTAAAGGCTGGTTTATACCTAGAACCCAGTTCGTCTGCGTGTGTGTTGCAATGAATACACTTGAAAAACGATCTAGAAATAAGCAATAATTTCATAAATTAAGTATATTTACCTATGAGTTGAGTAGGTAAATGAAATCATTTCTCAATGGAATTAGTATTTTTACTCTTAAAATAAGATAATTAGATAATATGCACTTGAAATAAGATAATGCAATTGTTTTTTCTTATTTTAAATCTAAATTGTCTTGTTCCATTGGCAAAATGTCTCTTTTACCTCCTCAATTCAAGAACAAGTGCACTTATTTTAAGAAAAAATGGCTTATCTAGATTTAGATTTTTTTTTCCAGTGTGCAAATGTGTCCCCGCCCCTTCCGCAGACACTCTGGCGCACATCTCCGAAATTGTAGGCGACTGCAGACAGTGCCGCAGACAGGAGGGATCTGATTGATAAAATCTACATCCGCTCTACACTATAAAGGTTTCCTGTTTGGTACCTTACCAGCTTGTTTTGTTTGTATGATCACCATCGTAGAAAACGACTCATGAAGAGGTACCAGCTAGAAAAGCGAGGTGCGTGAGAATGCTGGGACCCTTTTTCCACCTGGATCCACTGCTCTGATTCGCCTTAATGTCCATCCGTTGTCGTACAAACTTGCCCCCACTTTCTCACCACCTTGGCCATATCTAGACCGACGGCTAATCCGTGATTGTCCCTCTTGCGTTTGCCGTGAAATAACAGTGCAGACCACGCTTCAATATTGGGCACCCACTGCTGTGGGAGTATAACCAGCCCTCAAGTCCTTGTGTTGGTGATGTAAGTGTTTTTGAGACCACTCAGGGATCTGTCATCTCCCCCTACTGTCTCTGGCTGAAAAAACCAAACTTGGAATTTTTCATGCCATCTCCCCCCTGGCAGTAACCTATAAAGGCAAATAGCTTCATGGCAGCCCAATGTAATTCCATCAGCATCAAAATCAGGGCCCTTGCTGCAACACTTGTAGGTAACCATAGCATACTTTTGAGGTCTTTAACGTGGGGCAAACCAGCAAAAAAAATGGCAAATAGTGACAGCATGCTGTGACTGTTAGTGAGTATGAGCAGTGTTTAGGATAGTGATGTTTTCAAAAGATGCTGTAGGGGAAACACCATTAGAGAAAAACTTTGTTCTGCTTTAATAAAGCAACAAAATAATTTTAGATTGATATGAGAGTGGAAAATTGTCTTACAACCAACCTTTAAGCTAAACTGAGTTGAATTTTAAAATTGTTACACTTTTTTTTTTTTATACACACAGAGCACAATGTGTCCACATCACTTTGTACTTTTATGACAAAATAATCCTCTGCACCAAGTGACTATATCTAATAAAACAGGCTACTGTTGCAAACGTACCAGATACGATTTTCATTAACTTGAGATTAAAAATGAAAATTCTACAACTTAATTCAGTTATACTCAAAAAAGTTTTGAAGAGTTGTAGCAGTACAATGTTTATTTTGAGTACAAGTAAAGTTTGTGTGCTTACAAAAATGAATACAATATTCCTAAATTGCAGTAGTTATTCTACAAAGTAAACTACAATATTTTTCTAATAGCAAAGTGTCCTTTTACCCTATGTTTATATGCCTCCACGTGGCTTTAAAATGAAAACCCAGCACAGACTAAGATTAACAAGATTAACTAAAAGTCCAGAGGACAGGAAAAGAAGATATTGACCATATGATTTTCACATTATAATACACACATACAAAAATGGTGAAAACAAACTTATCCACACGTCCCACTTCCAATCAGAATTTTATTTTTGTTAAAAAATATGACTTGTAATGTTACCCAGCTCATTTGGCCTTATGATTCTATTTAAATAAAATGTTTCACAGAGGTAGCCTTTAAACTGTATTTGTTATAGAAAAAGACACGAATCGAATGGAAGTCATCAGGGACCATTATAGCAAATGTAATAACTTTCATCTATCTGATGTATTGCAATTTCTTTTCCCCCTATATGGGACTTGTGTTTGTTCAGACTGTCTGTGCACATCCCCGATGTTTCTTTACTGCAGTTACATTTTAAATTGAACTAGTAAAAAAGCTTTTGGTTTAGATGTTATTCTTTTTTTAGTTTAATCCATCTTAACTAGCTTTGCATGCAGTCAAAAACAGGAGTTTGTTTCTATCAATTTTGAGGTCTGGGAAAGTATAAATATGCTTTGGTTTTACAAACAGTTTTCCTTTTTTTTTTTTTTATTTTGTTCCCGCAATTAAATTTTTTCAAATTTAAGTTTACGTTATTTGTTAAAATTATACCAGTTTAAAAAGGAACTGTGCTTCTTAAACTGGATCTGGTTAAAACAGATATAGTAATAGATGAGCTTTAAGGTTGTTCAAAAAAAAAAAAAGAAAAGAAAAAGAGCTGCAAACAGACAATCCGATCCGTTTAAAATCCTCCAATTTTTTGATATGGAATATTGACATTCAAAATAAGTAGACACTATATTAGTGAACAGTTTGAGTATATAGGAATGATACCCAAGTGCCGAAACTTAAACTTTTTTTTTCTTCTTCCCACAGATTCGTTCAGATCATGATAAAAACCGATCCCTGAGATACAGTGTGACGGGTCCAGGTGCTGACCAGCCCCCGACTGGAATCTTCACCATCGACCCCATTTCTGGAGAATTATCTGTCAACAAGCCTCTTGATCGAGAGCACATTAACAGTTTCCATGTAAGCCAGACACGGCATCTTATTAAGGCTTTGAGAATTTCAACCGTGTGTATATATTAAAAAAAAAATTAATTCCAGACTGTTTTTACTAGTGAAATGTGTTCTCTTGCACGCTGTATTTTGTGCTTAAGGGTCATGTGTAGCCTAACCCCCTATTTTAACTTCTTCCGGCTCCTCTCCTCCCAGCTGTGAACTCTGCAGCAGATATGCAGCTATTATAATCGAGAGCAATTACACTGCTTTCAGAGCAGCACAGGGCGGCACCAGCAGAAACTGGTTGATCTCAGCATCCAGTTTTAAAACCATTCACTAAAGGGAGACCACATTGGCAGACTCTTCTTTTGAACCATTCGACAACCAACATTTATTTTTTAATTTACATTTTAATGTCCAATAGTCTGCAGGTTTATGCTGGGTCTTACATTCCTAAAATTCCTTCAATTAAATAATCTTAAATTTCATTTTTACATTGATTATCATCATATTTACTTTTAAAAAATTTCTTTTTTTGGAACCATTCAACGACCAACATTTATTTAATCTTTTATATTTTCCCCTCCAGTTGAGAGCTCATGCTGTAGACCTGAATGGCAACCAAGTGGAAAACCCCATAGATATTGTGATCAACGTTATTGACATGAATGACAACCGACCTGAGTTCACTCACCAGATCTGGAATGGAAGTGTTCCAGAGGGTTCCAAACCAGGTAAGGCTTTTGCATAGTTCTATATCTTTATTGATGTTTGTGCTTCCAGATACAGTGTTACTATAATATTAGCAGAACAATCTGTGCTACTTGTTATTTTATGCTTAGAAAGATGATCACTGGATTATGATTGACAAACTAATGTGACATTAATTGGTATTCTTTACTTTTGTCTAAAAGGATCATTTGTCATGACTGTAACATCTGTTGACAAAGACGACCCCAAAACAGCGAATGGAATGCTTCGATACATGATCATGTCCCAGAACCCAGAGAGCCCATCCTCTAATATGTTTACGATCAACAACAAAACTGGAGGCATCATTACAGTGGCTGCAGGCCTGGACAGAGAGGTATTTACATGTTTTACCTTTTTTTTTTTTGGAGGGATGGGGGTGGTCATTAATATTTCTATTTACACAAATCGTGTGACCTGATTTACCCATAGACAGAATTTTTCTCCACTGGCTTTTTGCTCTTTAATACAGAAATATATTTCTATATTTACCTAAACAGACAGAATGTTTAAAGCTTGTAAGGTTAACTGTTAATATTCCAAGTGTCTCAGAAATAATTAGCCGCAGCAAATTTAGCTTATTGCCACCTAAGTGAGAAGTTGAAGTTGGCTTGCTTGTTTCACACTTACTACACTTACAAGGAGGTGAGATGTGTCACTTAGCAACCAAATGTTTCTCTTCCTACCTATTTTTTCCCCTAAAAAAATCTATTTAAAATTTTTTTTCTTTCGATTATTCATACTGCAAAGGTAGCACTCTTTATAAATTGGGATTGCTATATTGAAGGCTGTTTGAGGAAATAAATACTAAGATGTATACAGCTGGAGCTTGGTAGTTGAATCCTTGTGAGGGCAATCTGGCTGAGGTGGCTGCTCAATCACTTCCACCCTGGGGCCACCGTTTTATGTCTGCAAGTCGCCACCATGAAAGTAATTTGCCTGGCTCTCATTACCTAGCAACTGGTCCATCACCTGAGCGGATTTTAATGTGAAAAGAATCATTTGTCCTCTTTATGATGGCTCAATATGTGTCTCATGCACGCACACAAACACTAATTAGCCCCTTAGGATGAAGTTAAATTATGTGAAAAACTTATTTATCATAATTAAAGATGCTGGACGAGTTACATTTGTTTCAACTTTATAAAATAGTTAAACACAGTGCAAATGTACATTTCAATAACATATTATTAGAGATAGAAATGTATGAAAATTTTAATGAAGTCATTTGAAAAACTTTGACTTTGAAAGGTAAACTGGTAAATGTGGAATCATTGTCCTCCAACTTAATTATTTCTCCTTCTCTTTTTAGAAAGTGCCTCAATACACTTTGATAATCAAGGCGACTGACATGGAAGGAAACCCTATGTATGGCTTGTCCAACACAGCCACGGCTGTCATCTCAATCACAGACATAAATGACAACCCACCGGAGTTTGTCCAAGACAAGGTAAGAAACAATCTCCTATCTAAGTGTCTACAGACTTGAGGTTCCCAGTTTAATCCAGCTGTTGAGTCTATCCACTCAATTTTCAGCACTGTTCGCTTGCCAGGTTTTGCTGTCCCTGCACTTCTGTAACTATATGCACACACAAGTCGCCAGCCGTGTGTAAAGTGTTATATCCTCCTTCAAATGTTGACGCATACAACTTCAGGGATGTCTGCCTCAGTAAAAGAGGCACTTACCGGCCTCACAGATCACAGAAATTTGTAATGCTGCTGGGATGCTATCTGGGAAGCACAGGGAATTTAAACACTGTGACCTGATAAGTTACCTAGTTGTCTGTTTACCCTTGATTGCCACTGTTGTGCTTTGTGAGTCGTGGCACAGAGCAGTCTCTCTAACAGCTTTCTGCGCCTTACATTTATTGTTTATTCATGCAGTTTTCTGGGGATGTGGATGAGAATGCCGTGAATGTAATAGTGGCCAACCTCAGCGTGACTGACAAGGACCAGCCCAATACTCCTGCCTGGAATGCAGTGTACAAAATCACCGGGGGCGACCCCACCGGCAGGTTCTCTGTGCCCACCGATCCAACTACTAATGAGGGTCTGGTAACAGTTGTCAAGGTATGCAACATTTTCAAACTCTTTATCTTTCACCCCATGTAGAGATTAACTGATTATTTTGTTTGAAGAATATTGCATTTAACAAATGCAAATTTTGAATTTGAGCTGAAGAAAATTAAACAATCACTTTTTCTTTTTTTTTTCCTTTTTTTTTGATTATATGTAAAATTATACAAGTAATGTGAAAAGCATTTATAACTGTGAACATTTAATTTTGGCAAAATGTTTAATTGGAATTAATAAATGAAAATGAAATAAAAGAGATGTGTGGTGGGCATTTATACATTTTTTTTTATATCTAGATTAATATCACTGTAACCTTGGAATTAATCTACATTAAAAAGTGCATGCTACCTCCAGAATTTAAAATTACAAGTNTATATATATATATATATATATATATAAAATAAATAAATAAATAAATAAAAAAAAGTGTGGTGGGCATGTATACATTTTTTTTATCTAGATTAATATCACTGTAACCTTGGAATTGATCTACAATAAAATGGCTCATTGAATTCTGCCAAAGGCATTCATGAAGTGCATGCTACCTCCAGAATTTAAAATTACAAGTTAACTTCTTTTTTTTTTGGTAAAACCACTCGAAAATTTGTCTTCTTACTTAAAATTTAAAAAAAAAAAGTTTTAAATTCTTCTTTTATTTTTACTATTTTGTTACTGTGTTTTTCTGCAAAAAAATGTCCCAATTCCAATTATAAATATCCCACTTTAACAATATAGTGTCTCCATAAATCCAACCATGGGCTAATAGCATCTGTGGATAATATAAAATCTGTGTTTTGAATTTCCCTTGTGATGCGAAGATCCTGAGGTTTTTAAAAATGTATCACCACTCTAGCTCTAGAAATGAAATGAATGAAATAGGCTGGTATGCCAAGAATTACCTCCCCTCTCGCACAATCAAGAGAAAACAGATTGAAATATAAATGAAAAGGGGACTTTTAAACATATTCTTAATGTTTTCATATTTCTTATGAATGGATGTCCTAATATTGAGAGTTTTGGTGGACAGATAAATGTCAAACACCTGCCTGCCGAGAATTACCTACGTCACAGGAACGTGCATCGCCCAAAGTCTCACACATTGATGACAAAACTGATTGAAATATAAACGGAAAAGAGAACTTTTAAACATATTAATGTTTTATCAGAAATGATATAGAATGCTGTTGATAGTAAAAACATGAAATGCATCCACTGAGCAGAGAATATATCTCCATACAAGTCAAAATCGTATGTTGGCTCCCCTGTTAGCTTGCCAGTGTACATTCCAAAAAGTTAACATTAATAACAGTTTCCACTCAATGATTTCACAAACTGACAACGTTCTCTCTTTGAAAAAAAAAGAAAAAGAATCATGACTGTTGGTGTGTGCACTAACCAGTGAAGGAAAGGCTGGAGTGAAGCAGCTATGCTCCATGGAGCCGTACTGAACTCTTAATACCAGTTTCTTTTGCCCATGTTACTGAATAAACATAAAACCCTATAAACATACTAATAAATCTGTGTATTAAGCAATACATATATTATACTTTGCTTTAATCATTAAGATTCTTTCCTGGTCAAGTATCAAAATTTCCATTTGTATCGACTTTCTAAAATCTCCAGCTTGTGTTTCGAATGTTACATCAGATTTCAAAGGGTTTTAAATGGTGGCAAATATTTAGTCTGTTCATATTTCTTGGCTGTTAAATTTTTTGGCTATCAAAAAAAAAAAAATCCTATTTAGTAGGTTGCTTTGTACTTGCTATCACACAAATGAAATTCTAATCTGATAACTTTTATCTTTTTTTTTTTCCTGCTCCTCTCTGTTTTCCAGCCCATTGACTATGAAACCAACAGGTTGTATTTGTTGACAGTGGAAGCAAAAAATGAAGTTCCCCTGGCCAGAGGGATTCACTCTCCCAGACAGTCCACTGCCACTGTCTCCATCAGAGTAAGGGATGTCAACGAGAGTCCTTTCTTTGACCCTAACCCTAAACTTATCAAGCTTGAGGAGGGGTTGATGCCCGAGTCCCCTTTGACTACTTTCACTGCACAGGATCCCGACAGATTCATGCAGCAAACTATCAGGTAGGCACTGCAGTTTCCATGAAATGTTAAAGATTTTTGTTCACATATTTGGCTTTCCCAGCAATTTATGTTTTAATTGACTGTGGCATTGCTTAATATTTCCATATCCAGGACTGGAGGTTTCTATATAGCTCCAAACTTAAACCAACAGAAATGCTACTCTTCAGTTTTTACCAGCTTGACACCATTTATGATGAATTAATATTTTTCTTAGAAAAAAAAAAATGGGAGTTGGAAAGTAAAGCTTAGTTGCAGTACAGCTATCTTTTAATTCAATGTTCATAATAAAACTGCTCTTTTGTTCCGTACAAACCATTAATCAGTAATGCAATTTAATTCTAATTCATGTCGGCTTTTTTAGAATCCCTTTTCTTCCCTTTAAAAAACTGCTCCACAGTAAAAGTTCAGCCTTTTTGTAAATTTGCCAAATATTTGACATTATGCATTTGTCTTTAATTAATTCAAGAGTAGAAGTTCATTGGTGGAGAACATTGATCTCCTTTCACAATTAAATATCTTTTTTGATTAGATAAAATTTTCTTTTTTAGTTAAAGCAAGTACATTAGTTCAGTGCTCAAAACTATTTTGTTTTTTTGTTTTTAAAGGATAAGTATCATTCAGAAAAACATTCTTTTTACATTTTATATGTGGTAAAAAAAAAATATCAGATTGTTGTTCAAAAGGACTAGATGAAATAGTAGGATTGTATTGAACACATCGGCTTATTAATGAAATCAAAACATTGCCTAGTTCCCTTTTTTGTTTTTCAAAGTAGCACAATCACAAGCTAATAAGTTAAAATTAGGCCAGACATGTTTAGCCTTTTTTTTTTTTTTTTAAAACCCTTTGGTTAAGACCACATAGGAGGCTTAAAGCGCATACCATCTTCTTCTATCAGTGACTAATGGTTATTATGGTCAATGCTGAATAATCTTTCTCATCTTCTCAGACACTGTTCCTTAGAACAGAGTACCCAAACTCGTACCAGAAACAATTCAAAATCTGTGGACTTCTCTTTGCTTCTAATTTGTGTTATCAGGCAACCTGATGAAATAAGTTTATTTTTCCCATATTTTTTAATAACTGTTTGCTGCCCTTAAAGTCGATAGAATGGCAGTAATCTCCCGACGCACACATTCATGTCTGAGACTTTATAGATTAAGAGATTTGTTCTCAATAGTTATATTTGTTTTTAAGATGATGCTGAACAGACAGCAGGTCTTCTTCTCAAACAACCCTTCTTTTCAAGTATTAACTGCCAGTATATGTATATATATATATACGGTATATATATATAAAATTTCAGCCATCTTATGCACAATTTATGGGAGAAATTCTAAAGATGATCTCTGTTACACTGAGAGAAAACTGAACAAAATTTTTTCCGGGGTAATCTTTTCTTGCTTCAGATATTCCAAGCTCTCAGATCCGGCCAACTGGCTTAGGATTGACCCAAACACAGGCCGGATTACAACAATTGCCATTTTGGACCGCGAGTCGCCCGAAGTGAAGAACAGCATATACAATGCAACATTCCTGGCAACTGACAGCGGTATGTAAGCATTCAAGTGCTTCAGTAGTTTCCAAAAATACCTTGTTGAGCTTATGTGATGCACAGGTTTCATGGTCTGGATGTTTTAGTCAGACTGTTACACAAGCACCTTTTTTTTTTTTTCTCTCTCTTTTTTAAGGCCATTACTGCCAGAGTGTTCAGGGGAATTTAATGGCTCCTTTTTTTCAGACAAAGGCCCAAGGGATGTCTAATGTAGCCCAGTTCTCAAGGGTCAATCTTGCACCTAGCATTCTTTTGACTGCTTTTGTCATGGTCTTCACCTGAAGCATCCGCCTTGTTTACAGGCAACGTTGATGTTCTCTGAACTTGAAGCATTGCTGTGAATGTGGCATTTGGCGTATTGGCAGCAATGACTCTGTTAGCTGAAGGTTAATATGTCAGCAATCCCCACAATCATCCAGCATGTGGATGTTTTCACCTTCTATTTGCACCAGTAGGATTTACCTCTGTTCGGATTTATCACTGTTCAGGTTTACCCTGTTCTATGGGGCATAGCTTAGGCCAATAGGCTTAAAAACTCTACCAATAAAGAGGTTTCTCAGCATTAATGGGTCAGGATTGGATGACTAGCTCCTTTGAGCGTGGCCTGAATGGTTAAAAAAAAGCCTCTTAGCTGGGTGAATACATAGAGGAGCCTGAGAGGAGCGACAGTGGGCTCTGTTTGTCTGCTTTAGTATTCCTGTCCCGTGTCCTTCATCAGGAAGATGTTCTTTGGGAATACAAACACACACACAGCAAAGTTCAGATTTCTACCTCTTTCTTTGCACCTTCTCACTTGAGATTAGACTCTTAGATCAATAAGCATTTTGTACAGGACTGCTCCTACTAAAGTAAATACGGATTAAGATAGCCAGCAAAGAAACTCTTTACTTTAGTTCCTCTGCTGACTCTATAGTGATCACATAGCAAGACAAATCTGTACAGTATATTTCTTTCAAATTCCATCATTCCATCCATTTTCCGTCATGCTTACCCCAAGTGGGGTGGCGAAGGATCCTGGACAGGGTCGCCAGTAGCTTTCAAAATGTATTTTTTACATTTAATTTATTTCTAAAAATCCTCGCTGTATTTCATTAAGAATGTGCTTTTCCATCCAGACAAAACCCATCCAGCAAGTGGCACAGGCACTCTACAGATCTTCCTGTCGGATATCAATGACAATGCACCAAGAGTGTCCCCCCCTGAGGCAGAGATATGCGAAAAGCCGCAGCCAAACTCCATCAACATCACCGCCTACGATGGGGACCTGAGCCACAATGCAGGCCCCTTTGCATTCGAGTTGGCCCACCGGCCTTCAGAGGTCAAGAGGAACTGGACCATAACAAGAATAAGCGGTGAGATACGGAGCAGTTTTAAATCGCCAGATTCATACAGGGCCAATTAGTGCTGGTATGAAGCCTCATGGGATAATAAGATTGAATTGGCTGTTCCCAGAATGTCACAGATGATGAGTCAGTTTTTTTTTTTTTTTTTTTTTTACTTTTAATCTTTGTGGTTTTTACAATAAAACAGAAAATACTGTTGATTTTCTTTTCTTTCATTTAGTGGCATTTTAAAGCCATAAAAGTTTCAAACCAAAACAAGGTTGATTTCTCAACATGTTAAGTCATTAGGGCTTTTAGAGTTTAATCTTCAATTAATCCAAAAAAAAAAAAAAAACTTAGGAAACACATTTAACTGTTTGTTAAAAGCGTACCATGAAGGTGTAAGACCTATATACTAATCTATTAATCTTACCAAATACGCTTTAATTATTTATGCTAATTTCAAACAAAACCACAAGCAGAGGAACTAATTTGTTATGTGTTTAGCTATTAGATAGTGGGAGATGAAACGCAGTGAATAAATCTTAATAGGATAATGGCATGTGGATTATCGCAGCCGGGAATTTAGCCTAAGCAGCATTATCAGAAGGTATCCAGAAGATTTATAAGCTTCAAATCCTGACTATGTTTTGGATTAGATATGCTGATGCAACTTCCAGGTAGGAATTTATGCTGCATATTTTCGAAAAAAGGAGTGTAATCACGATGTGAACAGCATCTTTACAAAAGACTTCCGAGTCTAGGAATAAATCCCCTCTGAGAAACCTGATCTCCGAAACAAATATATTAGTTTATAATAAAACACACAGAGCCGCTTCATCTTTAGTCACCTTTCCACATGTATTTCCTCTGACAAAGGATGCATTTAGAATTATATAAAACTCTTTTTTTATTTCTTTGCTCCTCTCTCGTTTTTTAGGTGACTATGCTCAGGTGAGCCTAAGGATTGGCTTCCTTGAGAGTGGAATCTATGAGGTCCCCATCATAATCACAGACTCGGGCAACTTACCCATGTCCAATACCTCCTACCTACGGGTTAAAGTGTGCCAGTGTGACATGAATGGAGACTGCACTGACCAGCAGCACATCATGGCCGCTGGTCTGGGCACAGGAGCCATTATTTCGATCCTCCTCTGCATCATCATCCTTCTCAGTGAGTATCACTTACTCCTAACCTGCACACCACAGCTTTAAAGCAGGAATTATAAGAGAAACTATCAGAGATATCAATAGATTACTGTCGGATTACCAAAAGATAGCCATAATCAGGCCCACATCCATGCTTTTGAACTTCAGATTTGATTACATTTAACAAAGGAAAATGTGCAAGTTGCTTATTTGTAACACGAGACGTCTTTGTTGCTTCATCACTCAGTTCTAGTGCTGATGTTTGTGGTGTGGATGAAGCGGCGGGACAAAGAGCGTCAGGCTAAACAGCTTCTCATCGACCCCGAAGATGATGTGAGGGACAATATTCTCAAGTATGATGAGGAAGGAGGCGGAGAAGAGGATCAGGTAAGGGTTACTAAACTATTTTAACTAATTTCCCTTCTCTGTTGAAACTTTCTAGATCAGGGTTTTTTTGTTGTGTATTTGTGCACTGGTGGCATTTATTTCCAATATCCAGTAGGTTTTCAGAGAGGAGAGTGTGTGTGGATGTGTGGAGGACAAATAGCCTCAGTATATACAGCCCACTTTCTTCATGTACAACATGCCTCACTCATATTGAAGCAGTTTTATTCCCCTCAATAGTAAGCTGGGGGTAAAGGTTTATTATTACTGCCGAAACATTCATGCCCATTATCTTCGTTTTCCAGAAAGGATGCAAAAGTCCTTTGATCTGGAAATGAAGAGAAGCAGATGAGATGGAGGCAGCTAATTGAGCTGCTTAGTTTGAATCATTCTGATTAAACTCTTCTTGGTAGGACTTTTTGTCATTTTAGTTCTATAGAATGCAAAACCTAATGGGGCTTGAAAGAGTGATGTAACAACCACACTGCATTTTGGGAGCCTCCAGCACCTGACAACAGGCTTCTGTTTGTTCACACCACCTGTATCTACAGTGCTATCTTTGTTTATAAGAAAAAAATAAAAAATGGTGCAACAATGTTATGGCGTTAACTACTACACATGATTCCTTCAGGAAAAAAGAAACATTGGGTTGACATATTATCATTTACACTATGTAAGCACAGCCAAGAAACTAGAAGATCCTAACAAGGAGTAGACAAATGGTTTTGTATCAGAAGTAAGATTAATTTGGCCTTTAATCAGAAACCTTTTTTATGGTGGGGGGGTTGAGAGGTTTAATGGAGTTCTTGTATTGATTTCAACCAGCAATTTATCATAATGGACTTTAAAAATGATTTCCAAAGGCTTATTTCTATGTTGAACATACAGCCCTTCTAACAAAGCTGAGGACTGCCATTGAAAAGATAATAAAAGGCTAATGTTCTCTCGTTGTTGAAGAGTCCCATCTCTGATGCACACACAGTTTGGCTGAGTCAACATCGGAACAAAGGATACCTCTTAATAACTTTCTGCAAGCATATGTACATTTTGTTGTTTCTTTCTTGTAGTATTACTACTTGTTGTTTTGCTCTGAGTCATCCACCTTGAAGAGAATAATCATATTCTAAGTTTAGATTGAAAATGGAAGATGATTTCCCCCCCAACCCCTCTCAAAAAAAGCTGGGAATCAAAGACTGGAATCAATAAGGCAAATACGTTTTGATCCAATTGGTTCTGAAAGTATTGGAAACGGTTTGTCAACTGGAACATCCTCCTCTTTCACAGCTCTAATGCACACAGCAGCAATAGAAACGCAATGCCACAGGCATCAATAATGCCCCCATCTCGGTATCCTGATCAGACACACACAGAATTCAATTGTCCTAATAACCCTTGTTAGCAGGATGGAATCATTTCATAAAAAAGGCAGGATTATAGCAAATGGGCTATTTTCCTGCTGCTGGCTGAAGTGCTTTGGTGGCTTAGGTATAACAGAAATGTGAGGCAGACCCCAGCCTGACCCATTGCAGTGCCAAATTAGCCTCGGAGACGTGTAATTGGTGAGCTGATGTCATTTAGAGACAGACATCTGCTGGGGTGCAATAATGAAGCCCAGTCTAAGGTAACAATATGACTGGAAAGCCATTACACATCTGCTGGTGATTAGGCAGGAGGGAGAACATCCATTTGTCTATTAACATTCTCAGTCTCACTCATAAAATGCACAGACCTGTGGACCAGAACATGTTGAAAAGGGAGACTGTGGCACATAACACCCCTCAAAGGCAAACGTGTGGGTGCAGCGATTTATTGAGGGAAAACAAGCTTCCCGTTTGGCGGAGAAAGGCCACCGCATCAGGAGAAAATGGTCTTGTCTGTGGAATGGGAAGCAGTCCGTGTTGGGTAAAAAATGGGCCTGACTTTCCCAGTGATGTAGTCTTTATAATGCTCACCTCTGTTCTCCCTATCTCCCACTGAGGAGGAAATTGAAGTGTCAGACCATTGGGTGCTCTCACTGAATTTGATTTTAGTTGCTGCTGTCATCTTCCTGGTTTGTACGGATTTGAATAGGCTTCATTTCATCAAAGCTAGACTGGTGATCTGCTTTCGTTCCCTGTAAATTGGGCAAAAGAAAAAAAACTAAACCCACCAGAAATAATAGAAAATTGAGAAGTGGTTGTTTGACGATTCTCCTTAGAGCAAGGGAAAAGGAGGAAGCAGGTTTGTCTCTTTAGAACGACCTTAGACTGATTTGATTTAGATTTACCTTTTAATAGTGCGATGAGAGACGAGCTGTGAGAAAAGGCAATATTTTATTTTTTTTCCCCCAATCTTTCAGCTTAACAATCAGTCTTTTCTGAAAGTTTTTTTTCTTCCTTTAAAGGGAAGACTGAAATGTCATTCCATTCACAGCGATTTAAAAGGAATTTGTTTTAATTTTGTTTTAGAACAAGATTAGCTATTTTTGCAGTCGTGGTGACTTTAATTCTAATAACACTGAACCAAAGGGAGTAATTGCCTTGTCCACATCCAAATGTTATTACTGAAACTTAAATGAGAAAGGTGGAACTGCATAGTTAAGCTACTTAACCTTAAAATAGGGAGAGGGGGAAGGAGGAGGGGAAAACTTGCTTAAAGACATCCAATCTGGTAATGCCTAGCAACCAGAGTGCACACCCTTATCTTTCACTCATGGATATTTGAGAAATGTTAAGATCCTTTAGGTCATACATGAAAAGAAAGAAAAATATGATAAAATAACTAGATTTATTTTCAATAAAACATTGAATACTCCGTTGTATGACGATGATAGTTTAATGTAGATGTTAGCATTGGGCTTATGTGAGATGCGGTTTAGTTCCCCTACTTGATTTTGACCCCATCATTTAAAAATCCTCCATAAAGAAACCTCTAAGTCTCTATCTGACCGTACTTGTTTGTTGTTTGCACTGGTGAATGAATCGAGCATAGCGAGGCTTCGTCATGCTGAAGTTGCGCTTAATGATTGTTGATAAACAAGGAAAGCCTAACAGCAAATCAGGGCAGGGAGTAAATTAAAAGTTGCACAATTGAACATTTACTCACTTTTCTGCAAATTAAACTGATCAAGACATGAATGAACAGTTGTCTGTTCTGCTGAAAGAAGGTTCTTTCACTTTATCACCGTATGGGCGAATAGTCTTTTACTTTCTCAGTCATCCTTCGTTCTCCTCACGCACTGCTCTCTATTGGTAGATTTAACTCCACGAATTGAAATGAACGTTACTTTCCTTACGTAAAAAAAAAAGTCTGTTAAAATCAGTTTAGAATAGTTTCTAAAACATGTATTTCTGAACTAATAATTGGCAAACGATGAAAATTGAACTATAAAATCTCACTAATCGGCAGCAATGTAAAATATTTAGTTCTTTTTCTTTCTCTTTTTCTCTTTTTGTTTTCTTATTTTACTGTGCTATAATATGAAAAGTTGGAATATTTAAAAAAGCTATTAATCCAAAATGATTATGGCGACATCTTCTCCTCTATTAGCATTAAAGTCTTTTGTATGCACTTATTCAAAAATGACCTCAGTCATTGTTCTTATTATTTGTATTCTTGTGCACATTTAAACATGACAAAATTAAAGTGACAAATTGGATTGAATTTTCTTGTCCTGCAGTTTGCTTCAATTTTAATTTACTATTGAAACTAATCTCATCCTGTTATCACCACAGCCTTTAACACTTAACTTGGTAAGACATTTTTGAATTTGACTCACCACAAATGATGTGTATAGAATGTGAATGTTTAGATGCTTATGTTTGAACGTGGTTATGAATGCCATGGGCAACCATTTCAGAATACGAGGGAGACGCCACTTCACCACTTAGAGCTGCTATGTCATTATGTCATTTATGGTTTGGTGGATTGGGCTCCTTTGACATCCAGCTCCTTACAGAAATTCACACAAATGGATTTCCTAACTTGGCTTCAATTATTCTCTTTCCGGTGAAAATTGAATTGAGCCTGCATGGTTTTGATTTGGTTCAAATTTTAAATTGATATTTTCAAAAGAATTTAGATATTAAAAATGGCACCTTAAGTTATTTGGTTTTAGATATATGTATTTGCTTATATTTGATTTAGGATAACGTCAGAAAGATGCCAACTGAAGCCTCTGGTTTATGAAAATTATGGGTTAAAACTTTATAACCTTTCTTATGAGCTTTGAAATTTCTATCATGTTAAAATAACGCTTCTGTAACATTAAATATTTAATTATGGCTATTAATACAATTAAAGCTTTGCGGTGAAAACATTCCTCCCAAAATTCCCTAAATTATTACTATTACAATTAGTTTACATCTAGTCAATGTTCCCCAACACACAAAATATCTTTCATTTAGCATTAACCTTTTTAACTGCTTCTCCTAGCCTTGGTTCAAAAGATTGGATTTATTTTCATAATATGTCCCTTACAGCTAAATGCACATGGGGGCTCTAAGCGTGCCATACAGGCTGATTGGGGGTCGGTGGGGTGTAGTCAGTAATAATTGATTGGACTGATTTTTTACAGAGGAACTAACATGCTGACAGCAACTAAACAGAGCTTTGTAATAAAACTCGTGTAATAATGTGGGATCGTGTGCCAAGAGATCTCGTCAAAGCCATAATAACTGCCTAATTTCTGTCTGCTGAGCATTACCCATGGTGTACCTATAGCATTAGGGTTGCTTTACAAGCAAGGGATTATTCAGTTAAAATATGAAAAGGTTTTAACGAGGAATGAAATTAATGAACTGAAATAAATCTACCACCAGCATGAGAGACTTTTGTGAAAAACATGACTTTTTTTGTGAAATATCTACAAGGAATTCAACTACTACTGAAAAATAAACAAATATGGAAACACTATGGTTATGATGCCATTTCCAGCCCATGAGGTAATAGAAGATTGGAGGAACAAGATCAGATAAGATGGGATCTGGAATTAACCAATTTATGTTGTATCAAATAACTTCAGATTATACCAAGACTATAACAATTGCTGTTCCATGCATTTAAAATACGGCCCTTCAGTGCACCATGGAAGGTGAACACGCCATATTTAGTGCAGTGAGTGGCTAATGGTAGGTTTAGTCAATGTTTTCTTGCAGTCATCTCAGAGTTTAGGATCAGATGGTGTCTACACAGCAGGGCAAAGCAGAAGCTGCTTCCTTCCCTTATTTTAAAATAAGCTGAGCTTTAAAGATGTTTCTTCATAGCCAGGGCCCTTAATAATCACTTAGACTTAATTTACCAGAGAAACTCACATGCTGACAGCTACTAAATGAAGCTTTGCAATAAAACTCATGTAATAATGTGGAATCTTTTACCAAGAGATGTCATCAAAGCCATAGTAACTGCCTAATGTCCATCTGCTGAGCATTACTCATGATCCACCCATAGCATTAGGGTTGTTTTTACAAGCAACAAATAATATGACAACTGACAACTAACCTGTATTAAATTATATCACCCACGAATTACATGAATTATTCTGTTTTATGAGCAGAGAAGATGTTTTACTTTAGTTTTGACATATTTGCAGTTGAAACCACATTGCTGCAGAAATTATATTTTTCAGAGCAGCGTTGATGTTGTATTGGCTATTAAAAAATTCATTATTTTATTTAATAAAAACTAAATAATACTTCCACAATATTCCACCTAGGAACTATAAGTATATAACTAAAGCCTGTACTACTATTTTAATCTTCAAACCAATTTATTATAATTTTTTTTTCATGTCACACTGACTGCATATAGAGAGGCTCCAACTACTCAGGGCGAGCAGATCATTGCAGAATTTTTTCACTTCTTTCTCTGTGCCACCCAAATTGAAACAATTTCCCACATTTGACTGGGAAAGATTATGAAAAGTTATTAAAAAAAAAATTAAAAAAAATAAATAAATAAAAAGGAAAAAACAAGGAACGTTTGTCAAATATTTTATTTCATTTTTTCATCAATAGGGCAGAGAGAGTAGCTGCGCTTACCTGCACTGTCTGCCCCGTGTTGTTTTGTTTTTGTGAGGTTCTAAGAGGGTTACTATTTACTATATCTGTTTTTTGTCCTCCTAAAGTTTGTCAAAGTTTTTTTTTGTTCCTCAAGGAGAGTGATAAGCTGTATTTTCTTGTGTCCCTGATTGCTTTTTCGAGGCCCTAAGATGATCACTACTTTATCTTAGATAGGAGTTCAGGAGGACAGAAATTGATAAAGTATTCTTTTTACCAGAAATGTTTCATTAATCATTTATGCACCAGTCGGTCCTGCCTGCTCTATATAGTCCGTGAAATTCCGAACATGTTTTCTCTTGCCTTTGACATATTTTATTTTGTGTTTTTCCCCCAAAGCGGAAGTGTTTTACTTTGTAACAGCCCCTGAATTTGCCGCTGAATTGCTGTGTGGTCCGAAAAACATATACCTCAATCGGAGCTTTGCAAGACCCCGTGCAGAAAATCGTGTTGGGTGTGATCATCCCCACTAGCTTCTAATGAGAGCTAAACGCCACAACCTCGTCTGACATGATTCTATCGGATCAGATGCTAAATTGGATTCGGTGTGTTCAGGGCATATCACCAATATCATCGTCTATTGGCCTGTGTGGGTCAGTATGAACAGATCTGGTACCTAGAAGACGGATTAATGAATTTGAGACTTAACCAGTTGCTCACAGGAGTGATACATGTGTAAAAAATACCTACTGAAACCGGATGTAGGGCAGCACATATGTAATGGCTACAGTTTGTGAAAAAATACGTAAACTTAGTTCACCAGGTAGAGGATTTTTATCTGGGAATGATGTGTCAAACTAAAACACAGGGTTAGGTCACATTCAAAACTGTTTCTTAACACAATTATTAAACACAGCATGCCCATAATGATAACTCACCAAGCATTTAAATAGACTAAATTATAATATGCTAAATTCAGGGATGCTGGTACATTTCATGCTTAGCCACATGCTTCGTTCTAACACTGATAGCCGCAGGATGGGCCTCTCCTGGTGCAGTCTCACTTTGTTCATTAAAGGGAAAATTATCAACTCATGTTTGTTTAAGGTTTTTAATGTTAAGGTTTAAAGAATTTTGTCTTTGCTTATCGGCCAAACTTGCTGTTTAGACTAATAAGGCCCCTATTTATATGCTTCAGGCATTCATCCTGCTGTAATTTTGGCTGTCCTGCTGAGTAAAAGCAAACTCTTGCCTGTTTGTTAGGTACTCACAAATCAGAGCAGCTGGTGACAAGTTAAAAAGACAAACTGTATAAACAATCACACATTTTATAACTGTAATGGTTACATTCTTTGATACAATAATTGTTCAGTAAATCTCCTGTAACAGCATAACAGCATGCATACTTTCCTCCCTGTGTTTGGGTTTCCTTCTGCATTTACATGCCCTCATGTTTATTTTAACATCCCTGTTCCTGTTGAGAGTGCCTGTGTTAGAATATACATCTGCAACTGAGCAAAGATAATTTTGAAGAGGGATATTAGAGATGGATGGATTACTGAAAATCTCTTAAAGAGGGACAATCCATCATGCACGCCTATTAGGCACACACTGCCTCTCAAATGGTATTATCTTTATCATATCTGCCGTCACCCTGATGCCATCCAGCCGTCATTCAGCTCACTCGCTCCACTCTCCATCACAGCTTCTTTCTTCAGTTCTTTCCCCTCCTCCCTCTCTTCTCGTCCTCTCTCCCTCGCACATGACTTTGCACAAACCACCAGCCATTCAGGTTGCCTTGGTAATGTTAATAGGATTAGCGGTGGCTTATGCATATCCACCATCCCGTGTCTGGGCATTGATTAGAGCGAAATAGTTGCTGCACATCCTTCCTGCTTTACCGTGCACAAGTACAGAAAGTATGCAGCATATGATGTGCTCCTCAGCTTGAACCCCTTCAGTTCTGGCTCTTTTTATGTGTCAAGTTGTTCCTTGGTGTGTTCCTTTACAGGAAAGAAGATTAAAGTCCCCCCTCATGTTCACTCGACTCTCCTTGCTGCAATTTAACTTTAAAATCTTCCCTCCCTCAGTTGAACTTCTTCACGCTCTTTACAGCACAGGATGTGTTTATCTGTTTTAATAATCTCACTCAGTTCTGGGTCTTGTCACACAGCTCAGCTAAGCTCCATCTGTTTGCATGTTCCCCAGGATTATGACCTGAGTCAGCTTCAGCAGCCAGACACATTAGAGCCCGATGCCATCAAGCCACTTGCAATCCGCCGTCTAGACGAGAGACCCCTCCACCCCGAGCCACAGTATCCAATAAGGTCAGCAGCACCCCATCCTGGAGACATCGGAGACTTCATCAATGAGGTAAAAACATAGTTACTGAAACTGTTACTGCATGCTGGAATAAAATCCTAGGAAGAGACTAAACATGAGAGACTCGATGCAAATAAAAAATCCAACATTTTATTTTGAAGTTGAATCAGTTTCCCAATTCTATCAAGCTAAACAGTGTTATTTTTATGAGTACGCATCAAGGACTGCTTTTTAGCTGAAAAACATTTTCATTTATTATTTTTGGGGGGGTTTCAATGTTTTACCAGTAGGGATGAAGAACCCTTTCTAATTTCACACATATCTGCTGTAACTCGTATAAACCCAGAAATGTATATGATACTAACTTGCTCAGAGATAATTGTTTTCCTCTGTCTGTAAAGTAGAGATAGAGATGTGTCAGCATAATAATAGAAGATGAGAGCAGCAGTGCATTGGCTTTCTCTCCACATGCACTTCTCAGAGTGCCCTCGTTTGCCTGGGGCCATCATTGACTCCGGCATGAAGGGAGAATGTAAAATAAAAAGAGGAGTCATATATTTTTCACAAGCCCCCACTGACAGGAGTTTCACTGCATTACAAATGAAGTTCGCTCCTAGTTTTTGGACGGCGCCCATGTTTTTAGATTAGAGCCAGCTCTTTTTGACTCTGCTACCCCGCCATTTATCTCTCGCTTCCTTTTAACCGGGTACAATTCACAACCCTCTCACATCATGAATCACAAAAGAAACGTTATGAACTTGTCTCAAACGCCAGTATAAAGAGGAATATTTTGTGGTTAAAAAAACGGCGTGGACTTTTTTCATACTTTGTATTGTGTACCAGCTTTTAAGGTCATTGGGGTTTTATGTGTTATCTAAGTAGAAAGTAGTAGGTCATGCATAATTTCTTCTCCTTTTACATTGATTTTAATTTTTTACAAATATAAATCACAAAAGTGTGATGGACGTTTTTAAACTTCCTTCTGTGTTCTTACTCTCCTTAGAAAAATTCAAAACAGCCTAAACTGTAAAGTCTGGCTACTACCTATAGTAGTAGTTCTCCAAACCTAGAGAGGGAAGCTGGTTAGAACCAGTACAAGAAATTACATGTGACTTCATTATAGGTCAACACTTAAGACTTACCAAATGGAGTCTGGAAAAAAAAAAGGAAGGGGGAAACTGGCAGATGTTTACCATCTAGGAAGACAGCAACCCTAACCATACAGCCAGAGATGCAACAAAATGATTTAAATCAGAGCTTATTGATGTGATCGAAGTTTCCTCTCGAACTAGCTAGTGTAGGTCTGATCATAGTCTTAAAATTGACTGCACCTAAAGCGAAGTCATGGTAGCTGCAGCACACCCACTGAGCTGGAATGACCTAACTGATGGGGCTGGCTGCCAACAGAGAGGGGAGACAAAGAGGAGTAGGGAAGGGGAGGGAGGAAGGGGGAGAGTGTCTCATCACCATCCTGAATCGTGCACATTCCCTCGGAGCTCTTAATTAAATTAGAAGGACAAAAAAAAAAAAAGTCCAGCATACGCCTACCATAAGCATTTCAACTCCTTATTTGGACAAACGGCGCTCCATTAATCAACTTTGGCCTGTTCTCACGGAAAGCAGCAGAGTTAAAAACATTGGCACCAACCTGACCAAATCACTGTGGCTCACAGGTGGACGCAGAAGACAAAAGTTGAAGTGATTGCACTCAGTGTTTTGCACAGTGGCTCTTTTCAGCCCTCATGCTTTCTGTGATAGCAGCCACTTTGATTACACTTCTTTTTATCTGCGGGACAGAGAGGCTCCAAAAAGTGGAGGCAGTTAATAATTTCATACTTACGGGCTGTGATTGTTTCTACAACAGTGAATAACTCTGTTATAATGAAATCTTTTATTACAACGCCCAGTTCAGTTATTGACTAACTTTATGAAACTGCCACTCTTAGATGGAGAGGGCCATCTCCAGCAGAGCCATTATGGTTGTAATTGAAATGAACTATCCATCTGTCATATTTTCCACAAAATGATCAGCGTCACAACCCTGAGGAAATACTTTGCAAAATCTAACAAGTGGAAAATAATGGCTAAGTGCCCAGCCACTTTAATACGCTATCTTTGTTTGAGAGCGTTTCAACACTATAGTGGCTATATAGAGAAACCATAAATCTTTGACGAGTTTCAGCAAACTGAAGTCTCATTTCTCTGCTATGTTCATGTACTTCTTTTAATTCACATATTATTTGTTGAGTGTCCTCAGTTCCAGCGGTAAGAGGGAGAAACCAGGCTCGGTTCCAAAAGTGATTCATGGCCAAAGCACATCTCAACTCCTAGATTAGCAATCCATCAAGTCTCCAGAGTCCTGTTAGTGAATGAGGCTGGAAATCAATAACAATCCATAAGGACCTCTGGTGCTGCTATGAGGATTCTGGGAATGTCAAGTACAATCTTCAGAGTAGAACCACTCCCAAGCAGCGTGCTGGTGATGACGACGATACGCATGCGCCTGCAAACAAGCCACTACCCCTCATCCTGCGTGGGGTGTATGGTTTACTGAGCTGGATATCTATAAAATATTAAAGATGTTTTGAGCTATCTGGCAGACGACATCCTATCAGAGCTGCACTAGCATGGCAGGGGAGAGCAAGGGGCTCGGTCACAAGGGTTGAGAGGAGAGGAGTTTCTACTGGGCATCTAAGGCTGCCAGTCATGCTTAAAATCCACTTCTGATCAAGAAGTGGATAATTCTGTATCCTAGAAACATAGGGAAGATCTGACTAAAAGCAGAGAAACCTCAAAGGAGCAGGAGAGCCTGATGAATATGGACAAGAACCGCATTTCTTAAATAAGTGGAGAGATATTCTCTGAAAGGTTTTACGGTAAATTGGCTTGTTTGTTAGAAGCAGCACGTTGAGAGAAGCAATGTTTATGTGGCTCAATCCTCAGTCCATGCCTTTTTTTGTGTAAAGCAGAAGCAGAAATCTTCACAAGTCAAACCTCTTGAAAGTCTCAAATATTGCAAAAATATTTTTCTTATTGAATACAAACTGTCTAATCTGCCTTTAACACCACAGCGCTGTAGGCTAGGAGTTAAAACCCCCCTACAGTTGAGTGCATCAGGGTTTCATGAAAGCTCAATTTCCAGATGCCTGAAGGTATCACATTCATCTGTTGAGTTATATACAAGTATATGATAAAAACAAAATAAACATGGCGAGTCTCCAGACATTACACTATCGAGTAGTTGTATCCCAGAGACCAACCTGCTCTCTGCACATTATGTGCAGTAACTGCACAAAAAACAGTAAAGTGTCATTATCTGTGGTGAAATTAGCCCTGTACCAATATGGCCTGAGAGGAATATCATTACCTGAAATAAAACTCACAATGTTCAAGAGCTTAATTGTATGAAAGGTATGAAAACATGTTTATATGAAGATAAGTCATTTGAAAGTACAAAACAAATCCTTACTGGCATAAAAGAGGAAATGTTTAGTTATATATGATATTAGAAAGCTTTTGGGGTTCAAGTTTTGTGGATATTAAATAGTCCAAGTAACCTTTATTTGACAACTCCGCCTAAAAGTGATGATTTTTTTTTTTCTTTTTCTGTTTGTCCTGCACAGGGCCTGAAGGCAGCCGACAACGACCCCACTGCTCCTCCCTACGACTCCCTGCTTGTGTTCGATTACGAGGGCAGCGGTTCCACGGCCGGCTCCCTAAGCTCGCTCAATTCCTCCAGCAGCGGGGGCGACCAGGACTACGATTATCTCAACGACTGGGGCCCTCGTTTCAGAAAACTGGCGGACATGTACGGCGGAAGCGATGACTAGGATGCACAGGCACACCGCGACGGATGAAAAGTTAAGATTTTTAAGAAGAAAAAAAAAATGAAGAGAAGGAAAGATTTCCCAATGAAGGACACAGACAGCTTCTGATATTCCCTGAGAGTGATAGAACCGTGACTGAAAAAATACAAATGATAAACAATGATTCAGAATTATTTTTTTTTTTCTTTTCTCAAAAGGAAACACACAAAAACAACCAACCTAGGCTTATTGTTGTAGTCTACGCATACATATGCTTGTTGAAAGCTTAGGCATAGCCTGTGCTCCAAGTGTGAAGGACGTGGGGAGATAACATTCGGCGGACTGTCACCACTCAGATTGTCGGTATTGAATGCGCTCAGTTAAACTTGAATTTCACAGTACAGAAGCACTGGGATATAATGTGCCTTTTTGTACATTTTTTTGGATCTAAATGATTAGTTTTATGTTCAAGGCTTTAATGGTACTGACTTTTGGAGTGATTTCAAACAAAGTATGTTACACTATGCTTCTACGTGCTTTTTTTTTCTTTTTTTTTTTGGTTACACAATGCTCCTGTTTAAATAATATTTAAATAAATCTCTGATGGAAGGAAAAGCGATTTAAAGCAGCACTGTACAGTATGCTAGACTTTTAGTTACTCACTAAAAAATTAAAATTATGCAGCTGGTTGCAAATAAAGGGAGTTATAAATCACACTTTTTGTAGCAATATTTTCTTTAGTTTTTTTTTTTTCTTTTTTTTTTTTGAGGTGATGTAGTATTTTACAAAAAAATGAAAAATAAACTGTTTTGGTCTAATCTATGTACACTTAATTTGCCTTAGTTATTATCTGATGTTTTCAACTTTTATTTCGCTGTAAAAAAGATGTGTACATACTGTTATCTTTTCCTTTCTCCTTTTTTTTGATGTGGTATTATGAAACAGTGCAAAAGTCCCAAACTTGTACATGTATAATTTGGACGACAAATTAAAAGTTTTTTGCATGTTTTTATCTTTTCATAATGACAAAAATTTGAGAAAAAAAAAATTGTTCCCCAAATTTATTTAGTGACAGCAACAAGAAAATACAATTCTTGGTAAGATTACATGTGTAGAAGTTAAAGTTTTTTTGTATAAAAAAAGAAATAAAAAAAAATAAAATGAAGAAAAACATTGAGAAGTAGTGATCTTGTCCGCACAACATTTGAATTTGTACCAAAAAGAGGGAGAGTGGGCTTGGTAAAATGCTAACGGGAACTGACTGATTCAGCTTTAAGACTAGAAAGGGTTTTGAACTTGAGCCTTGTGGATAACGGTGTGTACTGGAACACAAATTATACATCTCTGACCCCCAATCATCCAAATAAAAGGCTGATTTTGGAGCTAAAAGCCCCCGTTTCTTTATTTCTTCCTGCTCAGCATAACTTCAGAGGCTTAATTACAATGTGAATTCTGTACTCTCTGAGAACAATAGCTTTTGCATAAAATAGCACTCCTTGGACCATTTTGTCAAAGGTGTCATCATTTATGCTTTTATTTTTTGTTTATAGAGATTGTACAGAACAATATTTAAACCCTTATCCATTAAGGTTTTGCTGCTTTTTGAGCTTAAAACTAAACAGTAAAATCAGGATGTAACACTATCTGTGCCGCAAGTGAAGGGAGGAAACTTCCAGAAAACAGATTCATCCCCCACCGGTCTGCTTTTAGGGATTTGTTCAGTTGAGTGCTGCACTGTCAGATTAGACTTGACCTCGAGATGAAGATTTCCTGCTAATCCCAACACTGCTTCTTATTCTTAAGAGACTCCCTTTTGTTTTTGCTCCAGGTTGAAGACATAAGTTACTTTTTATTTTTTGGTTGTTAAAATCAGTCGTAAACATTCCAGACATCACCTGCTTCTTCTCAGTTTTAAAGCCGGGTATTTAACATTTAGCCAAGTCGACACGATAAAGACAGAGTAAAACTGGACTTAAAGTCTGGTTCGCTGGTGTTTTTGTTGAAATTTCTCAACCTGCTCCTTGGAGAGCCAATGAGCCCTTGTTTTCAAGTGACCTTGTGGAGTGCAGAGCTTATCTCTGAGTGTGCACAGCTCTGCACTCCATTTACCAGAGTTGACACAAAATATTACACTACAGAGCCAAATTTAAAGTGAAAAAAAAAAAAGTCTGACCTCCAGGTTTTGTTCCAACTGCAACTAATTCATGTTTGCTGGAATGAGCTACTTCCATTTTACCTTGAGGTTTCCAAACAGAAGCAATTCATTTTCTCTTTCCTTTTGTCTCTGCCCCCTAATGGAAGGGGTTAACTTTTGACTAACCCGTCTTGCTGACTTTGATCTTGAGCCAGCAGACATGTGTTTAGTGATTCAACGTTTAAAAAAGGGCTTCATTTTAAAGCTTAGAAGTTTCCAGTGTTTGCACTGAAGCAGAGAATGCTTTGAGGAGATTCTGCACCATTAAAGAAGTACTTTGACATTTTAGACATCTTCTTGTTTGCTTTTTAAGGCTAAGATGAGTGAATTTAGGCTATTAAAATACACACATCTGTCTGCTTTAGAACAATAGGCACCAGCTGGAGAACACACACAGAGTGCAGAAATGGAAAGGAAAAAATTACAGAATCACATTTCCAATACCTTCAAATCAGAGCTAGAAATCTCTGAACCAGAGTTATTAGTTTAGCAGTATCTTTTTTTATGAGATATTCTTGTTTACAGCATCTGCTCTGGTCAAATAATAAAAAAACATTGCTCCACAATTTCCTTTTTTTTTCTTTTTGAAATGGAGAGCAGGAGAACCTTCCCTGATGTCTGAAAGGTTATACAGGATGTTATCAGTAAGAAGCATCTGAGATGAAGCAAAGCTGACTGTGAAGCAAACAAAATGTATCCCTGACACTTTTTGATGCTAATGTTGTTCCATGTTTAATAAAACTGTCTACGTTCACAAAGAAAACATAAACCTTGAAGGTTTGACTGTTTAGTAACATCTGTTTCTCTTTTAACCTGCTTCAACTGAATCTATGCCACAAGTCAGAGCCCAAATCTAAAGAGGTAATGGGCCAGTATTGTGGTTTTGCAGGCCAACAATGACTCTCCATTACTAATGGCTGGACCTTTTTTTTTTTTTTGGTTCAACTTGCATGTTTCCTAGGCCATAGCAAAGCCTTTGGGCCACTCTGAAAGCTGGAAACTCAATGCTACCCTAGACATTTTCAATTGAGAAAGCTTCCTAGATGGGAAGCTAAACGTCTTCAAACTTAGAAACAAAGTCCAGTGGATTGTTACCTGGATGAGAATCTTCAATTTAAAGAGGTAATGGATGTGGTAGGACCTTTTTCCATCAACTGTGTGGTCAAGTGTTACTTAGATTCTAACTGCTAACCAAGCAGTCAAAATAGATATGCAGTTAGATATTACTTTCTCAAAGTCCTCAGCAGAATAGAAATCTATCAGCCTGCTGCACCAACAGGTTTTATAGATGAACTGTATAAACTAGACTTATGGGGTGCTACTATAATGTTACACTGCATTTATTTCTTTTTTACATTATGTGGGCTTTTATTGTTTAGCAGAATTTGTCTTAAAACTTTTTTAGTGCTGGCCTTTTTTGGTTACAGGGAGGCTATTGCAGTTGAATGTTCTTTCTTCAGTAGAGCCCCAAAGTCTGGTATAAATACACACGCCCCCGTAACAAGTCATCCTGTCCTCCTCTGCGGTGCCGGCTTTAGGTATTGCTGAATCACCGTCTGCAGCTGATAAGGCTCCAGCCACTGGCTTCACAAAGCCTCCTTCAACCTCTGATGAAGAGGGGGGTGAAAGTCCTCCACCTCAAAATGAGAAGCCAGACCCCTGCCCCTCAGGCTCTCTTGGTTCTGACTCCTTTTGTAGCAATTTTTCAAAATTTGTCTGGTTGAGGGGTAAGGGAAACTAACCCTGGGGTTAGTTTCACTTTTAATGACATTTAACCTGACATGGCTGTTGGTTCAAATGTTTCAGAAGCTGCTGTTCTACTATTAGTTTCACACAATACCATCCTCAAGCTTCTCTTCACGTTTCAAGTGGATGGCCACAAATATACTGTATATCACATATCTGAAGTGGCAGTGTTGTGGAGGAAAATAAAAGCTCACTATGTAACCATCACTAAACCCACAAAACACTAAATAACAGATCTGATAAGTAAAGCGGAAATCCACACTGGAGGATAAAGGGAACTAGAGCCTTAAAACACCAGTGGTGTCAAAATTACACACATTTGTTGCTTAAGTAGAAGTATAGATACTGCAGTTTAAAAACACACCTCTTTACTCAAATAAAAGTTAAAAAGTATGTGCTCCAAAAATTACTTAAAGTATTAAAGTATAAAGTAACCTTTAACAAAAACAGCCAGAGGCCACTATATGAATTGAAAGCTCAATTTTCCGACTATTTTGAAAAATTCTTTGAGATAGGACCAAGGATGAGGGAGGTCTTGTTGGTCTCCATCTTCCGATACGCTCTCGCCTGTTTCCGACCTTTCAGACATTTCGACGTCTTTTTCGGAATCCTACATTGTAGCCAGAGGGGGATTTACCATTAGGCAATACTAGGCAGCTGCCTAGGGCCCCAAGTTCCTGGGGGCCCCATAAAACTCTGTTTACATGTATGGCTATTACAGCTATTACTTTTTTGCGCACATTAATTATGTTTTAGATAAAATCCTTTGGCAAAAATTCCATCAGAACGCTTATAATATCAGCCCCCCCTTCAGTGTCCACCATATTGGATCAGTCCATTTGCTGCACATGTTCAGAAAGGTTCAAACAGACAGCAGCAAACCATTTGAAAACAAACGATGCAAAGAGCTGTGATGTCAACTTAGCGCTTTTGTCGCTACATTTAGCGACTTTTCAGACCCCTCTAGAACTTTGATTTCAAAAAAGCGCCTAGCGCCAAATCTAGTGACTTTTTTCTGCTACTGGAGACTTTGGAGACAACACCTAAAAGCAGCGAACTCTGCTCTCCAGAGCGAGTAGATTGGTAACCCCGCCTCCTGTTCTCCTCTATCTTGTCTGCTGTCATGATTCATGCAGCTATTA